AACTACATCATTTTTCCTACTCTTCTCTTCTTCTACTCTAACATTCTCTTTCATCTCCTTTCCGACATCTTTTTTTTTTTTTTTTCTACTGGATCTTCCTTCGTTTTTTTTACTTTACTAAATTAGTAGTTCATCTTTACTAAAAAAATAGGAATAACTCATATCTGATTTTTGAAAGCACAACACAAGCGGAAGGCACATCGGAAGAAAGAGATTGCGACGAGGACAAAGAAAGAGAAACGTACAACGGAGGAAGAGATTGCGATGACGACGGAGAAGAAGAAAGACATAATGAAATAAATAGTCATGGATTCGAGAGAGGAGAAAAAGGGNNGAAAGAGGAGGATGCAAAATTAGGCGATTAGAATTTAGGATGATGTTGGTGGAGATGCAAATTTGATTGAAGTGTGAATAGATGAATTTTTTTTTGCCATGTTAAGTATGGTGTACGTAGGCAGAGTCATTTGCGGTGTACGGTGTGCCAGTGTACGGGATAATGTGATACATTCCAGAGCAATGGGCATGGTGGTTTACAGAACAGTGTGAACAACGGTGTATGAAATATTGAGCATGACAGTGGTACTATGACATTGTACGAAATAATATGAATGCTGGTGTACGAAATAATATGCACGCTGGTGTACGAAACAATATGCACAAAGGGATACAAAATAGTATGCACACCGGTGGTGTACTATGATGGTTAGTGTACGAGGTAGCAGTGTACACAACAGTGAAATGTGTTTGTGTGCTTNNGTTTTCACAGTAAAGTACTTGTGTTTTGGAGAATTTTGTAACACTTTGAATAGGTACATGCATATCATACACTATTATATTTCAGGATGCATGTACACAAAACAGTGAAATATACGACAATTTTTTATGTATGTACGCACAACGTATACATCGTATCAATAAGATATGTACGTACACTATCATGTACACCAACCCATGTACACACGGTGATTCTATGTGTATACTATACATACACTATCATATACACCAACCCATGTACGTACACTATCATGTACACCAACTCCATGGTATGGTGTATGTATGTGCATATCATGTACTTGCAAATACATATATACTAATATACGTCANGTACNCTCAGTGAAACCACTTGTGGATGTACATATGTAAGTCAATATAATGTACACTGAATACAACCGCTTGTATACGAAATCACCTACACTTGTGTCACCAGTCACGTACACTCAGGAAAATCACATGTGGACGTACATATATAATTGAATATCACGTACATTAAATATAACCGGTTGTACACGAAATCACCTACACTTGTGTCACCAATAAAGTACTTGTGTTTTGGAGAATTTTGTAACATTTTGACTAGATACATGCATATCATACACTATTATATTTCAGGATGTATTTACACAAACCAGTGAAATATACGACAATTTTTTTATGTATGTACGCACAGCGCGTACATCGTATCAATAATATACATAAGTACACTATCATGTACACCAACCTATGTGATTTTACTGAGTGTACGTGATTGGTGACATAAGAGTAGGTGATTTCGTGTACAAGCGGTTGTATTTACTTGATATTCAATTACATATGTACATCCACATGTGGTTTCACTGAGTGTACGTGACTGGTGACACAAGTGTATGCGATTTCGTGTACAAGCAGTTGTATTTAGTGTACATAATATTCATATACGTGCAAATCTGACATAAACAATGTGTTTACGCACTAAATGTAACTCCAACACATAATGCAAATGCATTAAATGCACAAAATATGACTTAAAGCAAGTGCATTAAATGCACAAAATCTGACGTAAAGCAGGTAAATTAAATACAATTTTATTAGACATAAAGTGAGGTGCATTAATTATGCAACTTCAACAAACACAAAGTAATGGCATTATCGTCCGAGAATATGGCCATGTGACATATTTGTTTGCCGAAAGTGAGTTGTGACTTTTTTGTAGATGGAAACATGTTTTTGTGACTTTTCTGTAAATGCCTCTAAATTGAATCAGCAAATTTCCCTAACCTTGACTAATATCTCTACGATTCTCTAGTGGTTTAGAGAAAAAAGGACGAAAATATGAAACGAGTAAGTTTTTACAATAAATAAAATCAAACAATCACAACGCTTCAGGAGTAAAAAGGTTTTAGGATTTTAGAACAAAACTTCAAGACTTACCAGACGCGTGATTGCTAAAGTTCACTCGATGTTCGACGAAGAGAACCGACGACGGCTGAGAAGAACGACGTTCGGACTTCGGAATAAAGAAATCTATTAGTTACGTTGGTGAGAAGAACGCTGGAGAAGAATTCGACAGTGTTGACACGACGG